ATATTGACTTGGGATAGATAAAAAGCATATAAAATTGTTTTTCAGAAAATATTTATGAAAATATATATAAATATATATATATATATACATATATATATATATATAATATATATATATATATATATTTAAATATAATTTATCAATAGAATATATACCATATAATATATATATATATATATATATATATATATATATATATATATATATATTGAATATATAGGTCCTTAAATAAAAATTGATGATTTTGGAAATACAAGAATTCTTATACCAAAATTCCAAGAACATCTATTCGTCCAGTTTATGTTCATTGATTAAACTCAGATTGTTTAAATACCGCCTTGGATGGCAAGGTTCTTTAAAATAAACAATGAACTGACAAAATATTATTAATTTGATTTAATTCAAATTATTTTACCTTTTGTGTAGACATTCATTTCAAAGTGTGGACCAATTTTTTCATCGATGAAACCAAATACCAAATCCAGACTATATCGGGCTGCGGATTTTTAAATTTTATGCTTCATTCCAAAACAGACAAATAGATAAATTTCTTCGTTATTTGAATAACAACTGTATATAGTTTATATGTCCAAATATACATAATATATATATAAAATATACAGATATAAAATTATATATATATATATATATTTTTGTTTTTTATATTTTTATTGTTATATATATATACAATTTGTAGCAAATAAAATATAAATTTAATATATCAAAAATGATAAAAATTATATAAAAATTTCAAGGTAATCTTTAAATGAGAAAACTTTTTTAAAAAATTGTTAATTTAACATATAGATTATTTAGGTTTCAAAAATGTATACATAAACATTCATAAAATATATTTAATATCAGTGAAATAGCTAATATTTCACAACCATGGCTTCCAGGATGACTTTCAGAATTTTCGCAACCTTTCTGAACAGTCTCCCTGTTTGGTTGGAGAATACCGCCATAATCCTAGCCTCAGCTCCTGATCTAACTAACGCCTTTATCCACTGACCCAAAAAGATGAAGAAAAAAATCCGAATAAATATAAAATGTTGGGAACATGTCGCTCTTGAAGTCTACGTTAGACTCGTAAACAAACCTCTTGTAACACAACTGATGGTAGAGTAAATTGAAAATCTGCTTGGTGTGCTACTGTGGGTGGCTAGTTTTCATATCTTTATTAACAGCGTTGGTATAGTGTACATACGACTTGACCGTTTTTTTTTTTTCTCCTAACCGTACAGAATTTTTCTTGACCACTATTTTATTTCCCGGAAATCCCACCTGGGATTCTTCGTGTTCAAACCCATAAAATAAAAAATAAGTATCCAGCTCCCGAATGTCCCAACTGACATGCAAACGGGATCTAATTGAGCAAAACGATATGTATATAAGCCTTATTTTTTGGGTAAGCTTGATGGACTCTTGCTATGATAGGGTATTTCAGTGAACGTTAATTTTAAAGATGAAGCTTGGTATCATTATTTATAACTATAATGGAATTTGAAAATGTGTTACCCAGCCCGGTAGTCTCAAAACTTTTTTCCATGGCTTCAAGTTTGGGGTCGAAGCATGAAAACCTGCCTGTCGCAGACACTTGAAGTTGACACCTTGCTTGTACATATTTATTATATATTTACATGTATGTAGTAAATTTACTATTTATCCTTTTACCCATGATTATCCTAGACGATAAAACTCCGCTTTTTTGTTTTAGTATGCTATGATATATATATATGTTCTTTCAGTATATATATATGTATATATATATATATATATATATTTTATATAGATAAGAAAAGGTTTATTCATCATGGGGGGTAAATATCAAAAAAATTATAAATAAAAATCAGAATTGTTATATTTGTTGTAGTCATTTTGTTTATTTTTGATTTTGTCGAAATTTCACATGGTAGACAAATTTCGTAATTTTCAGAGGAAAGAAGCACCATGATGAAAATCACATCGCCAGATATTCAAATAATTTCTTTACTGCTTGGCATTCGCTTAAGAAAAAAATACGAACATTTTAGAGGACAGTATATAGCCCTATTGGGACTAGTTAAATGGATCTAAAAATTATTTCTAATGGTGTTCGGAGCGATCACTAGTGATGAAAACCATTAAAAGCGTTTTTCTGAGAACAGAATTTTTAAATTGATGGTGAAAAGGAAACTTATTCCACAGGCGAGTTAGTGTTGCCTTGAATTCATTGGAGTCGAAAGGGTGACTAACAGTGAAGACAGTGTATTTATCAGACCAAAAAACAGAAGAAAACAGTAAATTGACAATTTTCGTGACCCCATCATCCCTAACGAATGGTCTTCCAAAAAAAAAAGGACTGTAAACCAATGACTTACGCAGTTAGGGAGAGAGTTACTGCATTAAAAATGCCTTGATAACAACCAATTGCATAAGGTGCAAGGATTATGTCTGGATTTTAATTTAAACAAAGGAGAATGCCCAGGACAATATATAAATTAACACTACAGAAATAGTTGAAGTTGATTGGGGAAATTTGGTCGAATATCTGTACTCCGGACCCAAAAAATTTTATTTTCATTAAACAAAAACGAAAGAATATTAATTTACCTATGTGTTTTATTTTATCAATTGCATATATATATGTATATATATATATATATATATATATATATATATAGATAAATAAAATATACACACATAAACAAATACACACACACAAGTTTATTACATATTTATATATAAAATAATATATATATATATATATATATATATCCCTGACTTAATGTGTATTTTCATATATAACACCTTATATAAGAATCCCATTTCATTTACTCAAATATTTATATCAAGGATTAAATAATCCACCTTTTTACAAAGGATATAAAAATAAACGAAATCGACGAAAAAATTATAATTCACTGAAACAACTCACTATATATATATATATATATATATATATAAAATATATATAGTAAATATAATCGGTAGAAAAATTAATTCCCAAAACGATGGTTAAAGTCCAATATTTACATTTATTTGTAAAACCACTAATCATGATAGTGAACATGTAAACAATGTTTCAGTTAAACGAAGAATTTTGCAGCGATTACGTTTTGCATTGGAAATAAGCTCTGGGTTTGGCCAGTCTATAAATATATATATATATATATATATATATATGTATATGCCATAAGTATTCGTACATATATATATATACAACATGAATGCCCGGAGGAATTTTAGATATAAAATATAACTATAATGTTGAATAATGAAATATGCAATATATATATATATATATATATGTTTTAAAGTTCCAAGTACAATTTTCATCATTTCGAAAATCAGATTTATTTTAAAATAAATTGCCAATATTAATTTGAAGAAAAAAAGAAATCAACACCGTGAAAATAAATAATATATCTTTCCGAAAGTTGGAAATCTGACAGTTGTTTCTCTTAATTTCATTCCACAGAATACATTCATATATATATATATATATATATATATATGGTGGGGATATAAATATTCGTACACATGAAAATTGTATTTTTATAAATACTTAAGCTTAACTAAAACAAATTTTTATAAATTTTATGTAAAAGATACATTTATTAAAAAAATAGTAATAAACTTAATTAATTCTTATTCTAACAGAAATTAATGCATAAAGGTAGCGTTAGCACAATTGACCAGATAATTTTATTCGGATCTGTCGCTAAAGTTGGAAAAGCGTTTCTGTCCACAAAAATGACCCATAGCAACAAAATGCAAATGCAGCACTCTCTAAGTTTACTGGGTATCAAGACAGATGCCCTACCTCTCGTAAGTTTTGTCTTTATTTTAAAATTTGGTTCCATTTTCTTTAATCCTTTTCTTTTCTTCGATTTTCACATTTTTTCTTTTTTTTACTCTTTCTTTCGTAGTATTTTCTCCCTAACTTTCTTCGTATTTATTCCGATATTTTTCCTTATTCATTCTTTTCCTATCTTTAATTTGTCCATTTGTACTATTTTTCACTTTTCTTCCCATTATTTTGTTTCTTTGTTTCTCTCTCTATTTTATTTTTGTGCTTGATTGTCTTTAGTTCTTATTTTTCCTCTGTTCAGCAGTCTTTTCTCTACTCTCTTTTCCCATAATTTTCTCTTTTTTCACGTTCTTTTCTTTTTCCCATAATTTTCTCTTTTTCACGTTCTTTTTTTTCTCTTTCCCATAATTTTTCTTTTTTCACGTTTTTCTCTACTCTCTTTCCCATAATTTTCTCTTTTTCACGTTCTTTTCTTTTTACTCTCTTTCCCATAATTTTCTCTTTTTCACGTATTTTTTTCTCCTCTCTTTTCATAATTTTTCTTTTTCACTTTCCTTGCCGTTTTTTTATCAATTTTCTTCTTTGATCAGTTTATTCTGTTTCTCACTTTCTCTTTCATTATTTCGTTTCTTTTTTCTTTGCCTTTTTTAAATTACATTCTTCGTCCCTTTTTTCTTCTTTTCCCTTCTTTCACAAACACCTATAATTATGTAAACTTTAATGCATCTCCTTACGAACAAACTTCAGAAACAAAATACCTACCGCACTATGACAAAGTTAGATAAAGTGATTTCGAAAACAAAGTTCTACATTAGGTTCATTTATAAATGAGATTGCTATGCCCAAACAATATTTATAATTCTACTACTACTACTATTACTACTACTACTACTACTACTAATAATAATAATAATAACAATGATGTTTCTTGCAAAGCAGTATTTATCTCTACCCCTCATATAAGCATCTGTCTGTTGATATCAATCAATCAGTTAATGAATCATATTTCTTCAAGCCTGTTCAGATCTATCTAAGAAACGTTTTATTCTATCTTTGAACGATTTATTTATTTACATATCTAAAGCCTATTTCTTTCATTCACTATGTCTGTCTATCTATCTAAGCATCTTTTCTTCATTTTATACATCTTTACACAATTTATTGATATTATCTATCTATCTATCTATCTATCTATCTATCTATCTTACATCCATATCACGTTGAAACACCATTTCCCGTACGATTACTGAAGTTAAGCAACGTTGAGTTTAGTCAGTACTTAGTTGGGTGACCTTTTTGGAAATACCAGGTGCTATAAGCTTGGATGTGCTGGTTGTGTAATGAGTAAAGGCTTGGAATTGGAAATCGAAGAGCTGAGTTTCAATTCCAGTCAAGATTGCTATCTTCTACGCTCAAATACACTTAGAAAAGATATTAATTCATCTTTTTCCCCAGCTATGGTTCATAGAAAGACTTGTACCAACAGATCCTTATTATCTTCAAAATATTCTTACAACCTAAAATATATAATCTGGCTTCAAATATTATCCAAAAGGTTGATAAAAAAAAAAAAAAAAAAAACAAACAAATCTATGTAAAGTCATTTTTACCGTTATTTAAATCTTTATGACCAAATGATATGGAAACATAGAGTTTAAAGCATATTTACATGATTCCCGGTGTGCAAAGTATAAAAGCCAAGGAACAACTATGAACTTCAGACATGAAACATATTCAGTTTTTTAACAATGAAAATATACAAATTATACATCAATGAATGGGTCTTATTCAACAATATACAGACGGTTATATTTTAAGTATATGTAATTTTCAGACGTCAATGGCGAGATTCTTAATAAGTTTGTTTAACATTATATGACAGTGGCTATAGATTTTTCTGCACATGTGTTTGTTCAATTTTGCCCAAATCTCATTGCTCTCGGGCTTTGAATATCTCACCTGATATCTGTCAAAATGTATGTTATGCTCTGAATGCACCAACTTCAGATAAGTACATAGCCACCTCCAAGATAGACCCACTACAGTACAAATATTTAGTTATATATTACATACCCCAATGATATAGTCTTCATCGCCTAACTCTAAGTCGATGTCTGCGAACGAAGCATTGAGAAATGAGCATCCCAAACATATTGGGGTTATACACGTGTGGGTTTAGTGAAGCATGCTTAGAATGTCATAGACGAAGAATAGGAACAAAAAGAAAACTTTCACTTAGAATCAGAAAGTGACAACATATTTTTAGAAGATATAATAAGGAAAGCGGGCTTGAATATTTTGACACTTTACAGGATTTGAAGGCAAGAGAATCGGAGCAAAACATCGAGTGATTTCACATTGCTTGTACAAATTGTAGTTTGACAAATCGATAACAGAACGGAGAAGGGTGAAACATTATTTGAACCAATAATTTTATTAGCGCTACAAGATATTGAGAGCTATGATCATTATGTCCTGAAGTGATACGTAATATGCAAGTTTTAGTAGACATAGATCAATAGAAAATACGTAAAATCATTTCAACATTTTCAAAATTGGTATTATTATCAATATCAACTTTGTATTATTCTTACCGTAGTATACAATATGTCGGCGGCTGTTGTGTGTTGACATTCTTACCAAAGCAGGCATCTTGTCTTATCTGAGTTCAAATTAGACTGATTTAAACTACGCATTTCATAAATGAATAATTTCTTCGCTAAGAATCAAAGGCTAGTCTATGAATAGGATCGACTTATGTATGTGAGAATATCACTTTGCAAAATTTTTTTGAAACGCCGTTCTTCAGCAGTTAACCATGTTTATGTGCTTGATGCTAAAAGATTTAGATATTATTTTCGAGATTGGCAATTATTTTGGCTTTTTGCAACAATAGCAGTTTTATTTTTAACCCCAATGATATATGCTTTCCCGTCAAAACATCTGGGATGAGGATTTTTTTTATTTATATTATTCATATTCTAACCAGTGCCTTCATCTTTATTGTTTTTTATCACAACGTTTCAGCTGTTCTTCTCAACTTCCTTTTTATGCTGTTTGTCAATCCAGGTAACCTTCAGGGAATTCTAAACTGAACCCATTATTTATTCATCACACCAAAACAAAGACAAATGTCCGTATAAGCATATGTCCGCAAATCCTTCGTTTTATGGGTTATTTATAAGTTTTATTTTAATTTTTTGGTAGATGATGTTAAATGTATAACATAAGATACAATCCAAAAGTACTTTTTACAAACTTTGGTGGCGGGTCTCTGACACAAAAGCAAAATAAAATGTCCATATAAATATATGTCCAAAAAGGCCATTGCCAAACCTCAACACAGCAACTCATAACACAAGTTCAAAATGTCCTCTTGCTTGCTTCTACACATGCGTGCACCAGTCACATCATTGACTAGCCGACCCTTTGAAATACTCTCACACGGTGTCGAATGGTTTCGTAGGCCTCCATAACACGTTGATGTCTTTGCATTATTAATGTCTGCTGCATAAACCAATTGTTTAGGTGTCCACACAGATGAAAATCCAAATGATTAGTGTCAAGCGAATGCGCAGGCCATAGAACCAGTCCTCTCCTACCTATTTACATTTTTTATGGTAGAATATAGCGAACAATGTGACTAAAATGTGCTGGAGACCCATCATGATTTAACCATTTTCGTCTTCGTATTACCATTCTCTAGGAGATCTGGAAGTGTATTCGAATTAAACTCTCTTGACAGCTCCTATAAGAAGTGCTGAGAAAATATATGGACCTACCAGACAGTCACCTACAATTCCAGTCCACACATTATTCGTAAGATGATACTGGTGTCTAGCCTGTATTGTACCATGGGGATTCCGATCTGCACACGAATGTTGGATGTAAATTTATCAATCTATCTCTTTCAAATGCTTCCTTAGCCCTAAACAAGACTAAAAAGACAAAAATGGATCGACAATTTATGCAATAGACCTTCGGTAGAAGTTCATCCTCTACGCGTTGCAAATGATACGGATGTAGGAGCTGCTTTTTGAAGTAGTCTCCATGAGGTATTATGAGGTAACACAACATACTTGGGTCACTTGGCATGTGCTGATGTCTGGATCGTTCCTGACAGCCTGTAGAATTTGAATTTTTTCGCGGCCAGACGTACGAGCGGATATCGGTCTTCCTCGATCTATAGTTTGAGTTACCATGGATCCTGTCTCAGCAACGCGACAATAAGCAGCAGCAATGGTTGGATGACTGGCTGCCTTCGGTCTGGAAACGCCATCTGATACAGCCATGAAGCCTTGCGTCCATTACATAGCGCGGCTATATGTAAAAATCATATCTTCTTGCTCAAGATATAAATATTTACCATTGTTAAACGGAACATTTCTCAGTTAACTCACAACTACACACGTTAAAACGTTGAAGACAGACTAGGCACAAATGTACATGAGTGGTAAATATATCTTTGTCTACATAGCAATCAGAGCCATCTACCGAAAATGTCTTTAAACTTAAGGATTTTGCCTAGAAATCTTTATATGGATCTTTGTCCTTGTTTTGAAGTGTCGAATCCGGCACAAAGTTTGTAAAAAGTATTTTGATAAACCCTGTACATATATATGAAAATAACAAATTAGTGAGACTTTATATATATATATATACATATATATATATATATACAGTAGCGTCCAAAACTAAGGGACAAAATTTTAAAACCTAATATTTGTTAGAAATAACAACTGTGAAAAGCTGAAATTTTGACAACTGGTAGTCGTTATCATCCATAATAACATACTAAAATTTGAATCATTTGCAAAGGATAGAAAAGAATTATAACAATTATTTATTTATTTTCAAATTTGGAACGTCCAAAAGTAAGGGACAAAATTGAGAAAAACAATGTAAACGGCAAAAAACAATAAAAAATACATGTACAATCAATATTTAGTAAATGAGCCCTTGCTCTCAATGACAGATGCACATCTTCGACTACAAGAACGAATCAGTTCTTGACAATCCTCGATACTAATTTTAGACCATTCTTCTTGAAGCTTCACCCACAAATCCTCCATGTTAGTGGGATTTCTTTCCATAACTTTCACTCCTAAGGTCTTCCAAAGATTTTCTATTGATTTAAGTCAGGACTTTGCGGTTGCCAATCCATAATTTCCAAATCTTGCTCGCTAAGGTAACTCATTACCACCTTTGCCTTGTGACATGGGGCATTATCTTGCATAAAGGTAGCCCTATCGAAACCTGAATTCTGTATGATTGGCACAACATGATCTTGAACAATGTTTTTATAGATCTGCGCGTTTACACGAGTTTGTAACCGGACAAGAGGCGTTGTACCTTGGCTAGAAAAAACATTCCAAATACGATGACGCTTCCGCCCCCAAACTTGACAGTTTTCTTAGTACACTTTGCACTTAATCTTTCACCAATAGGTCTCTTTACATTGTTTTTTTCCATCATTTCCAAATAAATTAAACTTGCTTTCATCACTGAAAAATACTTTTGCCCAATTTTCATATGTCCAAATTACATACCTGTTTGCAAACTCTAATTTCTTCTTATTCTTCGAACTAACAAGTGGTTTCTTCCCTGGGGTTCGATTAAACAGCCCTATTTCTTGCAGTCGTCTACAAACAGTCTGTCTTGACACATTAACACATGAGGTACTATTCATAAGTTTTTTTTAATTTCTGTGCAAGACTTAAAACGGTCCTTTAATGACATACGCTGCATTATTCGATCTTCTCTTGCCAAAGTTTTGCGGGGGGTCTGCTTTTTTAAAAACTAACTATTTTGCCAGTATCATTGTAGGATTTAACAACCCTGCCTACAACACTCTTGGAACGTTTCACTTTCTCTGAAATCTCTCTAATGGTGTGCTTTTCCTTGTGTAGCTTCACAATAGCTTGTCTCACAGAGTAATCAAGTTTTTGGCGTTTCGCCATGGTGCCGGCTGATGCAACGTTTACAAATGACTAAGTAAGACTTATTCTTTAGAGGAAATCAAAAAAATTTGAATATAGCATACTGTTTACATTGTTTTTCTCAATTTTGTCCCTTACTTTTGGACGATCCTATTTTGAAAATAAATAAATAATTGTTATAATTCTTTTTCTATCCTTTGCAAATGATTCAAATTTTAGTATGTTATTATGGATGATAACGACTACCAGTTGTCAAAATTTCAGCTTTTCACAGTATAATAAAAGGTTTTTTTCAGAATTAATGAAAAATTTTTCTAAAAAATAAAAAAATTTGATTCTATATGTGCAGAAAAAAGAATTATCCCCAATGTTCATTTT